ATAATTTTAGTACACCGGGTTTTAAATGCCCTTGCATGTTTAATCACTCGAGTCATAAAGGCTATGAAGAGACATTTCATGATAAGATAGTTTTATTTTTTCTTTTCATTTTTTATGCAATAATTAGTGCAATATCCCTTATCAAACACCCATTCTCAAAAAAATCAATCTGTAACTTAAGGTTTTTGCCTAATTTTCATCCTATTGGTGTTAGACAATCCACATAAAATTTAGCACACATGAAATACCCACTTATCTCAACGTCTTCCGACAACAGTTCATTCACTTCCTAACTATTCTAAATTTGGTTTAAGGATGTATGATTTAGTTATTGTTTGAATTTAGCATCTAAGGTCCACCATATTTTTTTTCCCAACCTATTCAAATTTTGAATCAAATTATTCCTTCATGATGCAAAACATAAATTGTGTTAAAAAAATATCAAGTTTTACATGAATCAACATAAATCAACCCAAACATACAATTTTTTCACAATTTATAGCCTAACACATGGTTTTAAATATTCTCATCATAGTAGGTAAATTTATTTCACACACACAAGCATAAAAAAGAAAAAAATAAGCTTACAAATATTTTTTTTTCAAATTTTAGTTTTTTTGGCACTCGAAAAAGTACACAAACCTATAAAAATTCAATATTTTTTCACCTCCAAAACTTATAACATACATTGTCCTCAATATTTAAAATATAATAAGCAATATATAAAAATTAAGGGCAAAGAAGGGAATTAAGTACTCCTATGATATATATTTGAAGGTGGTGGATGGATTGGTATGAAAGTTCTGGCTCACTTGCTATGTCTTTTCCTTTGTCCAGTGTGTTCGTGTGTCATATTCCTTCAAAATAATTAGAAAATCAATCATAACATGGAATATTTTATAATAAGTTCAAACACAACTCGAATGAAAATATGGAGATGAAGATATCATATACTATTAAAAGAATTAAAACTTACTAAACTACTAAAAGCAATGAAATTTGCTAATCATATATTCTAGAAAGCATAAATAAATAAAATGAAAGAAAATTGGGTTGTCTTCTAATAAGCGCTTATTTATAGTTGTTTTGGCTATTTATGGTGGCTTGAAAAGAGAGTTTTCAGCCTTGAACGACTATACTGGCAATTATTCTTCAATTCAACTTTGAGCCTCCAAATTACAAAATTTGTATTGTTATCCCACCCAACAATTCCCATTCTTCCTTCTTGTTCTTGTTTCTTCCCCAATGGTTGATCCTTCGACATTCCATAATGTCAAATGATTGCCTAATTAGAACATTCATTGTGAAGTTTTATTATTTTTCTTCCATCCTTAAAATTAATTCACTTTTCTCAAAATCTTAATGCTCGAGCAGTTGCTATGAATGGCCTTCCAAAAATTAACGTCATGTGTTAAGTATCTATATCAAGGATGATGAAATCAACAAGAAAAAAATTATCTCCAATTTTGATGAATGTCCTGTCAGCCAGTTATAGAATTATTGACATTGCTTTTGGATCATCCAATCCCAATTTTCTATAGAAAGAACAGTCTCAGTATTGGTGATGTACTTAGCAAGTAGATCCTCATCTAAAGATGACCACTTCTCCTGTTGCTACTAAAATTCTTGTTGGTTGACCTGAATTTGACATCCTCATCTCTGATTATTAGACCATGAAAAGTTAGGGTGCTTGCTCCATCCTGAATTATAGGTGTTGGAGTAAGGATTATTCTACTGTATCTAAAAGTTCCGTACATAATTGACCTCGTCATGCTGGTAAACATGTGTGGAAGCTAAAGAGCAGCTTGTAGTTGTATGATTTGTCCCACAGCCCTGCAGACTGGTGCTAATTGGTGCACCATGCTTACATTCTGAGTTAGTTTGTTCAATTTTGTTGTTAGCACTTCAAGCTAGGCTAACATTACTATCACTACATCTGTGCTATGAATATTTGTTGTTTTCCTTAACACTTCTCTGTTTATAGGTCACATGGATTGGTTTTCTGCAATTTTCTCAAAAAGGTCTAAAGCATTATCCAATGAAATATCGAAAATTGACCCTCCCGTTGAAGCATTGACTAAGTTGTGAAATTCAAGTCTCAGGCCTGAATAGAATATGTAATACTTAAAGTCCTTAGGAATGTTCAGATTATGGTACTTTTTGAATTAATCTTTGAATCTTTTCCATACTTCTAGATAGATTTCGAGGACTATTTGATTGAAAATATAGACTTCATTTTCAATCTAAAGGACTCGAGAAGGCAGGAGAATTTCAAAGTGAATTTCTGCACCATGTTATTTCATGAAATGATACTCACGGGATTTAGTGAATTTAGGCATTCTCTTGCGCCTTCTTTTAAAGTGTGAGGGAATAAAAGCAGTCGAAAAGTGTCAACCGACATGCCTTCATGACTAATCATATTACAAAGCATCAAGATGGCCTGAACATGTTCATGAGGATTTTCGGTTGATCTTCCAAAGAACCTGATGTCCTAATGATTTTGAAATAAATTGATGATATCTAGTTGAATGTGGAAGTTAGCATGCCCAAAAGATGGATATAATAGTCGGTTGCAAAGGATTTGGTACATGATTCACATAATCCCTAAGAGCTTTTCCACGGTTGGCAGCTGCTCTTGACGAATCTTATTGTTCTGGCGAATCTGGTGGTAACTGAATTTTGATTTCGATTTTCATTTTCTGCCATTTTCCTAGTTTCTCTTTGTTCTCTTCTTCATTGTGTGAAAATTCTTTTAATTTCAGAATCTAATGGTAGGAGCTCGATTTCTCCTAAATCTCGTATAAATAGCTAGAGAGAGAGAGAGAGAGAGAGATTATGTGTGAAATTAATAGCCTAAAATAACGTAAAACAAAAATCAAATTTTATATAAACCACAAACTCAATAAATACTTTATTCCTCGTCAACGGCGCCAAAAACTTGTTCGTGCAAATCCCACAAGTGTACGAAATTATTGACAAATAATAAATTTAGTGAGTTGAGAGTATCATTCCACTAATAAATAAATTCGATTCAAGTTTACTAGTTTCGTATAGAATTCAAAATATGCAAAATAAAATAGAGATTTTGAATTGATTTTATGCTAAATTATTTAAGAAAGCGAAAAATTGTATTTTTATATCAAGTCTTGAATGATTGTATTGGATTTCGACTATACCTATTGTTATATATTTCAATTCATATTTCGTGATAACATAAGAATAAGAGTATGATGGAAACCCATATTTCTAGTTCCCACTTTGATTATGTGACAAGACAAAGAATCCCTACCTTAGTCTTAGTGGGATATATTATTTTGCTATTCCTATTTGATTAGCTGCTATCCCACCAACTTTTGAATTCTATTTTGTAGTATATCTTTGTATAATTATTAATATTCATAATATTCAAATTAAGTCCTTATTTAACAACAATTATTTGAATTTTTTATTTTATTTATTTATTTATTATTTTTTACATACTTAGCCCTTGTTTGAGCCTCATTATTTTATATTATTTTCCATTATTTTTTTTCCAGTACTCATTTTCAATCATACATTATTCATTAAAATAATATTACACGCAAATCAAAAATATTTTTTTTAACCACATATTCTTCATCAATCACTATTACATAATACATTACTTCAAATTAATGGGGCTCAAATGAGACCTCATTTTTAATAACACATTGATACAATAATATATTCTGTACATAAATTCAAAAAATTTTCATATTTTTTAATTATAAATTATTTTAAAAATTACAATTTAAATTATTATCATTTTTAGTGACCATGAAATAGGCCTAAAAGTAGTGTTTCTAATTATAGGTTTTTCTAATTTTGGTCTTTGTTCAAAATTCAAATCGGGGTTAAGGTCCCCATGAATTTACACCACTACTACCAAATCACAAATCAGGTGAACATCACATGGTCCATGGGCCCTGATTCGAAAGCAGAGTGTCCACGTAAGCAAATCAAAATCTCCCTTCTGCCACGTCATTACAACCAATCAAAATATTGTTTGCACCGGACGGGAACACAGTCCCATTCCAAATACGCTGTCGTTTCATTGACACACAATTACACAAACTCCCCCGGTCAACAAATATGTCCGTCGCCACTTCGAAATTACAATATTGCCCCCGTCTATTTCTACAACTAGGGGAATTCTTATCTATAGTCCCTAAACATTATTACTTGTGCGACTTGAGTCCCCTTCATTTTATTGTTGCTCTTTGGTTACATGTAAAGACAAATTGACGGAAATCGTTCAATTTTTCATCAAATAATCCCTTGAAAGGCACGTAATATTCATTCTTACATGGGACCATAGCTTATATTTAGGTAGAATAAACCATTTTGATAATGATGTTTTGAAATCTAAGTTCACCATGTTTCATTCCATGTTCCTCTATAGGTTTTGCCGTCCACTCTAGTCTTGTGGTCTACAGATAGAGGACCTCTAATTCCAAATGGTCTACTAATTGTTTCTTCTTGAAACTTTATTTTCCATCACATTATTATTATTATTATTATTATTATTATCATTATTATTATTATTATTATTTCTCACAGAAGATTCATTCAAACTTTTAATCTTATCATAAAAATAGATTTTTTTTAGGAGGCCTTATATTACACAAAAATAACCTTGAAAGAATGGGTTAAGTGCTTTTCAAATTGATGATTTGATGAAAAATTGAAGTATTTCAGTCTCTTCATCTTTATGTGTACTAAACGAGACAGTCTGGGGACCTAAATGCAACAGAAAAATAAACGAGTACCAAAGTGAGATACCTTATGTTTGGGGACGGTGTGAGAATTGCCCAACAAGCTATTTCGCGTTTGTGGCAGTTTGAGTAATATAACACAACGTAAAAGTCTTTTTCGAGTTGCTGACTGCAGGTTGAATTATACAGGTCGTTCCTCTTACACCTCAGTTTTCTCCCTCCATATTTTCCATTTTCTCTCACCATTTTTTGGTTTCAAAATTGAAAATTAGAGAGGATTTAGGCAAGATGAGGTGCACGTTGTGTAAAAGAATGGCTAGGATTTACTGTGAATCAGACCAGGCGAGTTTGTGCTGGGACTGCGACGTGAAGGTGCACTCGGCGAACTTCCTGGTGGCTAGGCATTCGAGGAATCTGCTTTGTCACGTATGTCAGTCGCCGATGCCGTGGTCTGCCTCCGGTTGGAAACTCGTACCCACCGTCTCTGTGTGTGAAAAGTGTGTCGATGGAACCGTCACGACGGAAGAGCAAGAAGAAGATGATGAGGATGAAAGCAATGTGGAAAACGAAGTTGAACCTGCTGATGAGGACGAAGAGGAGGACAATCAGGTAGTACCATGGTCATCGACATCTCCGCCGCCTGCGAGTTCTTCAAGTAGCGAAGGGTCGACAATAGGAGAAAGAGAGGTTCGAAGGAAGCGAATGCATGAGGAAATTTCAAATGTATGGAATTTTCCTTTTGGGTATTTTTTGCTTCGTTTGTTTCATTAAGAATATATTTTTTGAAGATTTCAATTTTTTTTTTTTTTTTTTTTTTGCACAATTTCTTTACGAAATTCGAGATCGTAATTATGAAACTTTGGATTTAAAATGACAGGAAGATCACGGCTGCTCGTCGTCTCAACCTGATGTGCATACACCGCCGCTTGCCGCTGCAGAGATGGTGGTGGAAGAAGTTGAGCCGTCGCTCGCTCCACCAAAAATCCGAAAAATCGAATCTGATAAAACGGATCGGGTGGGGTTATCTGAATTGGGTATTTTGGAATCATTGAGAAGATTTGACCGGGAAGAGATGGCATCAGGTGCAAAAGAGTTCTGCCGCGACATCAGCGCCGTAGATTATGATTCATGCGACTCTTCTTAACCGTTAGATATGAGGCTGAAGGTTTTTGATCTGCCAATTTCTTCATTTTTTTTTTTTTAATTTAGGATTATTAATCTTTTGTTAGGGGTAATGCTTAAAAAATTGTGACCCCAATGGCTTGAAATTTGTAGTTTTGACTTGCCAAGAGGTTTGTTTAGACTCTGGTCAGTCAGGAGAAGCTTTTATGGTCGGTTCGCGAGCCTTTATACTGATCTTGTAGACTACTTAATGAGTAAATATTGATGAACACACTTTCGAGGTTGGTCGACATAATGTGGTACTTGTAGTCTTGTATGCTATTGACTTATTTGATAAGTTTGATTAAATAGTATTACTGATCATTCCAATAATTTGCGTGTAATTGTCGTGTATTCTCGACATGATATTGCTTACGCCTCAATTTTGGTAACAAAGCAGCGACACGATGTTGCTCACGCCTCAATTTTGGTAACAAAGCAGTTAATTGGTGGCAAAACTCATGCAGGGCTACGGGGGAGTTTGTTACTAAACTTGCTCAGTAAAATGCATTGTATATCATCCATCTTTAATTTGGTGCAATCAAGTTATGCCATTTCGATTTGTTTGTATATCTGTTGAAAAAAAAGTGACCCATTGCATTTAACCTGTTAAGGAAAAACTTCCTAAACCAGAAAATAATTTTATGGTTTCAATTGTTAAGCTTGAACTAACATTATATTGTATAGTGAAAGGTAGAACAATAATACAATTTTAAGTACTTTGATGGATTAAATGCATACTGGTCATCCATAATTAATTTCGTGTAATCAAGCTATCCAACATTCAACTGCTTGCAATTCTTGCTACTTATCCACTTCTATGAGTTCAATTAATGTAATATGCTCGTAACAGTTGACAAAGTAGCCATATAAGAGAGCAAATCGAAGTTCGATGACTTAAATGGGCGACCCGGAAATTTAGTGACCCATAATGCATTAACGTGTTTCTCGATGAATTAGTTTGTATGAAAAAGCTTTCTAATCTAGAAAAAAAAATGTCTTTTACAGTTTGAATTTTTTGAATCACAGGTGTTATTGGAGTGCATTTTTTAATTTGATAAGATCAAGTTTCCGTAATTAATTAAAAGAAAATATATATGCAGTCAGTGGTCCACAACTTTAGCAAATACTTGTTCAACAAAAACTGCTGTATTTGTTAGAAACCACCAATTCCTTCTCTGGTCATTTTCAAGCGCAAATTAATGAACCTTATTTCTTAAAAAAAAGGTTAACCCCAAACTTAAGGGTCCGCCACCACCCCTATCCTAGAGCATCGTGAGGGAGATGAGTACAGGGTGAAAGGCTGCTTGTACACTTACACTTATTCAAGAGTCAAATCTATATTTCAAAATTCGAACCCTTGACGCGGCAGCCTCAAGCAAAGCAGGATTTCTCCACCCTCCCCTTTTACCACTTGGATGAACCTTATTTCTTTCTTCTGCGGTTGGTCCAAATACAACTTTAAAAGGGATTATTTTAACGACACATCCTAAGAGATATTTTGATTATATTAATATTTGTTCTGGAGTTGATTACCTTCATTTGTCTAACACAATCATGCCTTGGCCAAGCCCCCTAACTTTCATTTCATGCCGCTCAATAATTTAAGCAAACAATTTGTGGCCGAAAATTACATCAAACTGCAGAACTTCAAACTTTTAAAATTTTATTGTTTCTTACATCTCATTATCGCCCTCGTTTGGGCCGTATTAAAATTATAATTTGTTTTTCACTCTTTGATCAACAATTACACATTTTTCAATAAAATAACATTAGACGTTATTCAAAATTTCTTCTTCTTCTTTAATCACATATTCTTAAAAAAAAAAGAAAAGAAAAGAAAGAAAGCTATTTCAATCATTAAAATTTCAACTAATAAGGGTCAAACCGTTTGATAATGTACTACAAAAAAGAAATATCATCAAAAGAAACATAATCTGCTTTAATTAGTAAGTCTTAAATTACACTTGTGAACTTTGGAAATGTATAAGAATGGTAGCTAGAGGTTTTAAATCTCGTCTTATTCACATGAGATTTGGATAGAGACTTAGAGATATTAGTCTCAATTTAAATAGAATTATATAATTGTCAACTTAATTTGGAAGCTGGGCACTAAGCCAATATTTTGAAATTTGAATATATTGTGATAAGTCAAGTGATACTCACTGTAAGCATTAGAAGGTGAACAAGATCGTGAATATTGTGGGCTACCATGAGGAAATGAACTGAAAGATCACAACTCTAACCTAGTTCCACCATACACAGTTAACCACAATGATAAAAGTATTTATTTATTTAAATTTTATTGATAATAAATCTTATTTCGTTATTACTTGAAAAAATGATCTTGGTAGCACCAGCTATAAATATTTATGCGTTTTACGACAAATATGAGATACTTAAGTGGATGAAATTAGTTCAGCAGTGTCGGTTGACATTAGACCTTGAGTTTGAAACTTACAAGTCAACGTTTGAATAAATTATAAGGACCATACTACTTGTACATTATCTTTTATATCATTTTTGACATTGTTTTACATGGCGGCACATGATTCTCCAGTTTTTTGAATTCAACACACTTTCCAATATATTTTGAATTTGTAAAGGATGTCAAACTCCATGTAATCCATAAAATGTACAAGAAGCAATATTGAAATTATAATTAACCAAATATCAGCATTAAAGAAAGACAGGTTGAGGAGAGATTCTTGGCATCCCACGTATTATCATTTCATAATACGGTTGTATTAATTAAATAGTGAAAGTTTGCTGGATTGTAATTATAGTTTTGCAACAAGTACAGGAAAGTTCAGCAGAAATTTTTTGTAAGATGTCAAGTGTCAACACTGCATTGATTTATTTTAATCTTTTTTCTTTCATCATCCAATACAAGGACGCCACCTCTCTCAATGTGAAACATCCTCGTACTTATGGCTTTTTTCTTGTAATTAAAGGCTATGTTTAAAGATAAAAAGAATGATTAAGAAAAAAATGGCGCGAATGAAATGGGGAAGGAATTTGTCGTGGCAATTTGTTGATTGTACAAGAGAGCTGGGAATGTGTGGTGGAAGTATGTGGCTGCGGTTTTGTACTCTTCAACAACTATCAAGATATTATGTGATTGAATCTTACAATTTAGACCATGAATTTATAGTGCTTGACAAAGGTGAGAGTAATATTTTTACTTTTCACCAATACATATAATATCTTCTTATAGAAGAAAATTTTTATTACTTTCGTAGTATGAAATTTAATATTTTGTGCCACTGTATAATTAACACATGTATGTTCGAGTTCCAATTAAATAGTAGATCCAGTTATTTAATATACACATCAATTAAATAGAGAGTATTGCTGACCTCTGAAAACGGTCAACAGGTGTTGTTAGGAGATAGTGTACACGTGGATGTATTTCATAGTATGCAAATTATACATAGTATATTTGTAGAAGAAGATGAATAATAGGCAATGGAAGTATATTGTATTCTACTATTTGTAATTCCAAGATCCCTTTAAATGATACAAGAATTGCTTATTTATAGCGATCACGCCGACGTGGTCACCGTTGGATTGGATCCACGTGACCTAATCTGCCGTCCCTTAGTGTAACATCAACTTTATTACATATTAATTACATTGATAGACTTTTGACAAGAGGTCAGCCACCTACAAACCTAGGCTGACATTCATGACACTCATTAACTGTGCACATCACATCATCTCACATCAGTCAACTCTGAAGACATTCATGCTCAAACCTCTTCTGGTTATCAAGGACTTCGAATACTCCAGGAGTTCGATAGTAAAAGGTAAACCACCTCGGAAGAACTTAGTGCAACAACCTCGGCACAACATGTAACAACCTCGGATGTTGATCCCTTCTACACTAATTCTTGGGTGCTTGCCACGTGTATGAATGTGAGGTTTCCAAGTGGACTATTCTGTATTGATCACCAACAATAGTCCCTAAGTCTATGTATGATCATT